AGTGGGGAGTTGCGGGTGAGGAGTTCCGTGACGGAGAGAGACACGGTGAAGCAGAAGCTTGTTGTCCTGGTGCGAGACAATGGGCAGCCACCGCTGTCGGCCACCGCGGCGCTGAGCGCACTCCTGCTCAGTGACTTCTCAGACATGCGCCTACCGCACAGCAGCCTGGCCACAGAGGACAACAGCGGCTCCCTGACAACCTATTTAATCATTTCATTGGTCTGTGTCTCACTCCTCTTCCTCACGTCCACGGCAGCCTTCGTTGCTCGCAAGATGTGCAAGAGAAAGGAGCTGAAGGGTGGGCGTGTGGTTCACGGCGCTGGCAACTTGCAGAGCGGCCTGGCTGACGCTGCTACTGCAGGGACCCTGTCCCACGCCTATTGCTACGAGATCAACCTCACGACAGGCTCGGGCAACAGCGAGTTCAAGTTCCTGAAGCCCATCCTCCCCAGCCTGCCACCACAGCACTGTGGCACGAGTGGGAGCACTGACGGCGAACGAGATTTCCCCCGTGGCCCTATCACCACGGAGGACATGGCACCAAACAACGCCGGGATGCTCTCTGCAGAAGAGTTCAATAGTCTTTCCTTTAACTAGCATGGAGTCAGCGCAGCCAGAGGCCTCATGCCTCCTGATCGGAAGGGAGCTGGGCTACAACACGTGGCAATGGTTCCTCCAGACGAAATCTGCATTTGCAATTGGTGTCACCGGTTTCCCTCCAGTTCTAGGTCAGAAGAAAGGTTGTCTCCCCCTCCAAACAAACAAACAGACAAACAGACAAACAAACAAACAAACAAACAAAGAAAAAAACTAAAGGTTCCCTCTCTCAGGCAATAATATCTTTCAGCTCTGCTACAGCCATTTCTGAAATGCTTTGAGAGTGGGGTTAGTCCCAAGGGCCCCAGCTAAGTTCTTGTCTCACTCGCTGTCAGGCAAGACCGTGGACCTTTTATTCTGTGCTGTACTGCGATGGCAAGGTCAGGCAGACAAATCACATGCTTACTGAAATGCAGGTAGCCCTCGTCCTAGGTCAGAAAAGCAAGGAAGTTGTGAGTAGTGTGTTACAATGTGTTGCAAGCGTGGGGCTCTTTCTTCTCTGGGTTCGGGATGTCTCTGTCTGAGCTGTGTGGGCTCTGTGTGTTTTGCCCCCTGGTCATTATGTCTGTCCAGACAGCCGTTGTGTGTCTGCATATGCTGCACAAAGGCTGCCCGGTGAAGCAGGGAGTAGCTCACATCCAGCCGTTGCGATGCACGCAATTGCAGCTCAGCAGGCAAGAAGGCTGTTTTGACCCTTTGAATACAGAAGTCTCACGTTCTCTAAGGGAGAGCAGCAAACCGCACAACAAGATCTTCCTTTGGCCCGTAAGGGGAGGGTTGCGTGGGCTGTCTCCTTGGGATTGCCTTGGAAATATGGCAGCACTAGCGGTGTTGGGACAGGCTGTAACCGTACAGAGCTGCGAGAACATGGTCATTGTCTTTGAGTGGATTGTATGAAAACGCCACGAGGTGCTTCAAAGGACTGTGCCTGAAGGTCGAATCGAGATGAACTTGGAAAAGGGCCCTTGAGTTTGGTCTCATCCTTGTTGTTCCGGAATTCAGAGGCTTCTTGATGGGAGTGGAAAGCTGTCCCGATATGATTTTCTGCGTTTGTGTTAGAGCATTTGCATCCTCCTTTTTGCCCTTTCTCCTTCTACCCTGCAGACTGTCTTTGAGCATTGTCTTACCTACTCCTCTTGAGAAGGACTGTCACCCCATGTGTAATAACGGATTGCTTGACTGCAGGCAGTGTGGCAGGGAATAGCTGGAAAGCTTCGCGCTGTGTTGTGCCGCAGTTATAAACTGTACCGTTGTAAACCGGGATACCCTTGTGTGTAAAAGTGAAATAAAGAGAACCGCTGAATGCCTTGTGTGGAGAGAGTCTTTGTGGAGATGTTCTTTCTGGGAAAGCTCTGTCCAAGCTTTCAAAAGGCCGGGAGGCTTTTTTTTCTCTCATTTTGTCCCTTGGCTGAGGTAAAGTTGAACGGGTCCATTTCCTCGCTTTGGAGACGCAGCCGATAGAGCATTCAGTAAAACTGTGGGGATCGTGGATTTGCTGGCAGGCCTGTATGGCTCTTGTGAGCCCTGAGCTTCTGGCTGCAGCAGGGCCCAGTTCGATCGAGGTCAGGGGAAACTTGGCGGCTACCCCAGCAGGGGCCCTGGGTGTGCAAAGGCCTCTGCAAAGGCGTGAGGTGGGGGCAGTGACCTTTCCAACTGACCCAAGAGCTCCAGCTGCGCTGAGGCGGGCGAGGACGAAGAAGTGCGGTGCAGCTGGCAGCCCGCTGGCGAGAGGGAAGGCAACGCGGGCCGCACGGCCCCTCCCGCCGTTGAGGCGCTGGACTGGCCGGCCGGCAGGCGCGTCCACGCCTGAGCCTCGCTGGGAGCCGCCTGCGTTCCCCGTCGTCAGCCTGAGATTCCCGAGGAGCCGTAGTGCCGTGCCGTGCTGCTACCTGCGGAGGCTGTCGCCCGGCTGCTCGACCGGGGAGCGCGGCTCGGTGCCGCCGGGCTGAGCCGCCGCCCCACGGTGCCGTGGGAAACGGGTTGTGCTCGTCTCGCCGCCGCGTTTCTGCAAGGGCGCGG